AAAAAAAGAAAAAAAAAAAGAAAAGAAAAAATCCCTAACATATCATACCAAACAAATGATGAGCCCTCAAAAGAGTAAATGCTAGTGGTGCAGATTTCTTACTACAGTCCCCTGTTTTCTTTCCCATATTTGTCTGTTGCTTGTTGAGGAGCACTTACTAGTGAAGGAGTACAATTATCATCATTTATGGGCTCATTAGGCTGATCCAAGTTCCTCTCCCTCAGATGATTGTTATTTGACAAAGTCGACCGAATCGCTCTCGGTAACTTTAATGGGATATCAGTTTCGGCATTGATTTTTGGCTGCTCAGTAACTTCAGCATTCGGTTGTGCCTGAGCTGCAGCAGGTGTTGTCGGAACAAGCTGAATGACCGACTTGCGCCATTTTTTCCTCGGAATATTTGGTTTTGGGATGCCGGGTAATACCTGCAACATTTAAAAAAAAAATATATATATATATATATACTCGAAAAATTCAATAGACGGACAAATTTAAAAAAAAAATAATAATACATTTTCAAGAAGAGCGGCCAAAAATTTATACTCCAGGAAGGAACTCAGTGAGAACAGACAGTTTTCAAGTAAATATTTTAACAGATAAACTATACAGTGAGGCAAAACATTACGGTTCAGAAAAGGGTGGAATTCTAATACGTTTAAAAATTTCACTTGTTCATTCATACAATAACGGTCACAAATGATGGAAGTACACTTACCAGGTTATTCCCAATGTCGGACAGTGGCTTCCTCACGGTCTCAGCATCATTCGGGCCAGCGGGCTTCTCAGAAAAAGCAGTTTGAAGCAGCACTGCACCATGAGAAGCAAGTTCATCATTATTACTCTCCTTTTCATCTCTTTCGAACAAATTTCCAGAAGACTCCTTCCGATTGCTACATTTGGTGGGCCCGCAGCTACAGGAGATGCTGCAACTACCCATTACGGCCCGACACTCACATCTTGACGTCTTGCAGAAGGAAGATTTACTGCACGAGCAACAAATTGACTCGACCAGTTTCTCCTTCCTTCTAGTTTGACGACCTTTTCTCTCTACTGTGTGTCCCCACTCGACATCTTCCTCTGACTCATCTGATGTGTCCATGTCCTCCAGTAGCTCGGACTCATAAACTCCACTACTGCTTGTGGAGTTACGAGATCCCTAAGTATAAAAATATTAATGTAAATGAATACCAAACAGTGGTAAAATGTATGATACAAGTCGAGTGGACAACTGATCGACAATGTAGATGAAACAAATGATAGCATGACTTAGCATATTTACATACCTTAGGTCGTAAGACATAACCAGAGCCCACTTTTGTTTCATTGGATGGTCTCTCTAGAGCCAACTTCTACAGGAAAATCCAATAATTAACAATTAACATTCAGGAACAGCTTGAAAATCCAATAATACCGATGATATCCCACAAATTAAAAATTAAAAATGGTAATTAAAAGATTAATCAGATAAGCATCTAAAAAATAACAGGCTATATTAACAAAGTTAAAATAATGAATTTATTTGCTTTACATGCTTTATAGTTTATACCATAGCCATGCAGAAAATACTTTGGAAGGAAATTGCATCATACGAATTATTTGCTTCTTGATATACATAGCTGGAATGAAATTTAGCCAAATAGTAGTCTTATTTCCAAGGTCAAAACCAAGAAATGCAAAAATTAAATAAACAGTAAAAAAAATATATATATATATATATATATATATTTATTTAATTTTATTCAATAAGAAACTGTTCGCAGCAAATAAGCTCTTCTTGCTAGGAAACATATACTATCAAGTAGTTGCAGTAGTGGCCAAGTTATTACTCAACATGTAGAAATACGACTCG